AAAAAAAAAAAAAAAAAGCCTTGACTTTTAAAATTCTCACAGCTTTTATTGTAGCCCTCAATTTTTTGTCAGTGGCCCATCACATCCTCAGAGCAACCAATGATGGTGTTTTCAAATGGTGAGAGCACATCAGGCAATATGCTGGCTCTTTTTTCTTTTTCTTTTTCTTTGTTTTTTGAGTTGCAGTCTCACTCTTGTCGTCTAGGCTGGACTGCAGTGGCATGCTCACGGCTACTGCAGCCTCGATCTGCAGGACTCAGGCAATCCTTCCACCTAAGCCTTCCAAGTAGCTGGAACTACAGATGCATGCCACCATGTTCGACTGTTTTGTAATTTATTGTAGAGATGAGGTCTCACCAAGTTGCCCAGGCTAGTCTCGAACCCGTGGGCTCAGGCAGTCTACTCACCTCGGCCTCCTAATGTGCTGGGATCACAGGCTGAGTCACTGCACCTGGCCACTGGTTCTTTTTTCTTTGGAGAACTTGTCCTCTATCCTCTTTCCTTCTCTGGTTGCTCCTTAGGCTGTTGCCCTGTTGTCACATGGGGTATTTCTTAGACTCCCTCCTATGTTAGATCCCCTTTCTTTCCTAGTTTATTTTCTTGTCTTGGTGGAACACATCTTTTCTTGGCATCCTGAAATCAGTGCCAGGGAGGTAAGTTCTGAGTAATGACACATCCAAAGATGTGTTCATTATACCTTGCATTTGGTCAGTAGTTTAGATAGACATAGAATTTGAGTCTGAAAATAATTTTTCTTCCGAATATTGCAAGGATCCCATGGTCTTTTCTTTTTTTTCCTGTCTTTGTAAATTTAAATTTTTTTTTTTTTAAATTGGAGTCTCACTCTATCGCCCAGCTGGAGGGCAGTGGCATGCTCACGGCCACCCCAGCGTCTACCTGCTGGCCTCTGGTTATCCTTCTGACTCAGCCTTCCAAGTAACCGGAACTATAGGCTTGTGCTACCACTCCTGGCTAAATTTTTTTTTTTTTTTTCACTGTAGAGGTCTTGCCAAGTTCCCCGACTGGTCTCAAACCCTGCGGGCTCAGGCAATCCACTCGCCTCAGCCTCCCAAAGTGCTGGGATTACAGGCTGAGCCACCAAGCCTGGCCTTTTTGTTGTTGTTTTTTCTTGAGTTGAAGTTTCTCGCTCTGTCACCAGGCTGGAATGTAGTGACACGCTCACGACCACCTCAACCTCGACTTGCTTGGTTCAGGCAATCCTTCCACCTCAGCCTTCCAAGTAGCTAGAAACTACAGTTGCGCGTCACCATGCCCAGCTAATTTTTTGATTTTTGTAGACTTGAGATCTTGCTATGTTGCACAGACTGATCTCAAACTCCTGAGCTCAGACAATCCTTTTACCTCGGCCTCTCAAAGTGCTAGGATTACAGATTTGAGCCACCATGACTGGCCTTGTTTTCTATTGCTTTTGCTTTTTTTTTTCCTTTTTCTTTTTTTTTTTTTAATTTATTTTTTGAGTTGAAATCTCACTCTGTCTCCCAGACTGGAGTGCAGTGGCTGCTCCCGGCCACTGCAGCCTTGACCTGCTGGGCTCCGGCGATCCTTCCGCCTCAGCCTTCCAAATAGCTGGAACTACAGGCGTGTGCTACCACGCCCGGCTAATTTTTGATTTATTGTAGAGATGAGGTCTCGCCAAGTTGCCCAGGCGGGTCTCGAACCCACAGGCTTAGGCAATCCACTCAACTCATCCTCCCAAAGTGCAGGATTACAGGTTGAGCCACCGAGCCCGGCTCCTTTTTCTTTTTTGAGTCTGGAGTCTCTGTTGCCCAGGCTGGAGTGCAGTAGCAAGCTCATAAATATCCTAACCTTAACCTGCTGGATTCAGGTGATCCTTCTGTCTCTGTCTTGCAAGTAGCTGGAACCATTAGCATGTTCAGCACGTCTGGGTGATTTTTTTTTTTTTTTTTTTTTAATGTAGAGATGAAATCTCGCCATGCTGCTCAGGCTGATCTCGAACTACTGGATTCAGGCAGTCCTCTCGCCTCAGCCTCCCAAAGTTCTGAGATTACAGGTGTGAGCCACCACACCCAGCTCTTTTACTTTCTGGGAGGCTTCTTTGGCTTCTTCCAATCATCCAGCATTACTTTGGAAATCATTTTGTCTAAGATGTTTTACTTTCTTAGGGTTCATCTTTGCTTGTTCCCTTTTCTGGCACCCTATTCTTTTTTTTTTTTTTTTTTTG